CGGACGACGGCAGTTACGAAGCGGAGGAAGACCTGGACAAGGCCGAGCAGGAAGATAAGAGTGTGAGTGGGAGCATCTATTGAAGGGGTGAAAAGGTGAGAGTGGCGGCAGCGATATCCAAATTGTTATGTATCTGGAAAAGCCTTGCTTTTTAGTATACCCCGGCTATATATATCCGTGCGAAAATGAGGTGATGGTAATGACGATAAATATTTTAAGATATTCTCTAACCTGCAATGTGCATCTTGGTAATTCCATCGAGGACGTTGCTCGTCGACCTGGTTTGGTAGCATTATATATATTATTTTCTCCGCTTTAGATTGCAAAAGGCAAAGAAGTCCTCATCTGCGCCTGTAGATAGCATTTTATCTGAAAATACACAACTCTGCACGGTTCATCTCGTTTCCCGATTAATCTGGGTGAGCTGGAAACCTATGCCCACGCTGTGTCTGACCTGAGTTTCTTTTCTCTCCTGACGCTTCGCCGCTCGTGTGTCCGGTCGGTAAGTAATATTTCGTCACTCACTTCATGTACTACTCATTTTACGTAGTGGGTGGGAAGTACGATGTGAGACGCTTAATGTCAATCACGGTTAAGTACCTAACCTATGTATGACTCTGCTTAGTTCGGATATGACAGTGATAATGTATATACCTCTTATACATATGTCAGGACCTCGCAGGTCAAGTATAGGGTATAATTATGCATAGACTCTTGTTGCGCGAAGGGTCTAATCACCTTCGTAGGCTATATTGTAGTCCTTGGCTATACACGCACGTGTACCTTTTTTCCAGGGAAGGTATTGTAACAACATATATATCACCGCGTGAGGTCCAGAGGCTAGATTGATTGTCTGTTGTCTCAAAGGTAGGATAAGTAAGTAGGTAGCTCTCCCTTCCTAGGCAAATATGCTTGTTCGGCCTTTCGTGCCTTTTGAGGGAGTCTAGGCATTTGTGGTCAAGACTCGAGTGTTGTTAGTGCTGTATATATGTATATATGTGTGTATGCTATAGGGCCTTTTTGCGGATGTGAGAAATCACGCGGGGGCTAGGTTTAGTACCTATATATATGCTCATTATTGATGATAGAGGTTTGTGTTAAGATTGCCTTTGTTTTGTATAAACTTAATCAGGTATGTATCACGTGACAGGTATTAGTAGTTATAATCTGGGATATGGTAAGAGAGTGCTTTTATGTTGCTAGGTTGGTGTTTCGATTGTAATGTCTAGGTAGGTTGGTGGTAGGTAGGTATAAGCGCGTTCCTATTGGCACCATTTAAATACCTTAGGTCATAATATATTGAACACGCGTATTCAACTGCTGACTATATGCCCAGGTTGGGTTAATAGAAAGAAAGAATACTACGATACAATCACGTCGATCGAATATGACCGCAAACCACACCATCTTGGCTAGAGGTTAACTATGTTGCAACTTGTACTATATTATTTAATTGTACTTACTATACGACTCCGCCACTTGGCTGAAAGAAGACCCTGACTCTGATATAGAAACAAACGGAGAAATAATCAATCGACACTCTTCGAATAATATACTAGTCAACTAGTCTAATGGGTAACGAGGATCTCGGGACCTAGCCGTGTAGTAAATCGGAGCGAATACATGAAGGTTGTTTCTTTCTTACACGAAGGTATCCCATAACAACGCTGGTTAGCTACCTAGCCCTGACTATGTGCATACATACTAGCAGGTGCTCTCTGCTCTAGACTACGGTGTAGAACGTCATGACCGGATGTCTCCTACATTTGCTCCATAGCTTCCTTTTCATTGCAATGGTGTCTCTCTCTACCCGCTGTTTGACAGGCACAGCCCTACGAATAGAACATACCTAGGTAGATCGAGGAGGACAGAGTGGAAGGAAGGTGGCACAGCGTGCAATAAGATAAGATTAAGAAAAATTAATCTTATTTCGTCCGCTCGCCAATGTTAAAGCCGTTACTCCGTGATGTGTGCGTGTTTACACAATATCATCCTTATCAGTAGATACTTCTTGCAACGTACTACGACATCAACTGGGGAACTCGGGATCCCGTCTACACCCCCCATAGTCAAGCTAGTGAGAAAGAAGTACTTATTCTGAATCAATCGAGTTAGTTATTGGGCGTACTGTGTGTAGTAAGGTAGGTACAACAGCCAGTGTTTAAGACTACCCTTTACGGTGGCTACCATGTCAATTACTCCAGTCATGCTACACCATCGATATCCATCCTCAACTGCAATGGTGCCACCTAGTCTTTGAGTCTAGCAAAAGATGTGTTTGCCAATAGCCGCGACATATCATGTATAAAAAGGATAATAATGCGGTGAGTGTGGATCGAACACACGGCCTTCAGATTAATGAATGAAGTTAACTTCAGTCTGACGTTCTCCCAACTGAACTATCCCCGCTGTGACGGAGCAATTTCCCCTTTATTACGGCACAACACCGCCTCGTTGATGTGGAGAAGCCGTATCCAAAGTGCAACCGCGAAAGACTTTGGAAGTAAACACCATCGGCAAGCTGTAACGTCTTAGTTTAATGAGCAGTTAAATTCAGCGTAGTCTGCAATTACATCTAAGAAGCTGTTATAGCGCAAGCGCACTGCATGAGTGTCGTGTTGGGTCGATTGATCGAATAGCATCATCATCATTGCTAGATGTAAGTAGAGTAAGATAGAAAAAAAGGAGATCTCGTACGGCGGGAATCGCACGCAAGCTACTTACGCTTATTTTGCATGCTAGGCACAGCCTATAATAAATAGCTGAGGTTGCCCTTTTCGACTGCGAAGATAGGGTAGTCGACTTCAGTTGCCGGTCGCATTTACTCCGGGAGCCTGTGTATTTGCAGCAGCGATAACCTCCTTACGGATCTGTAGCTCCCAACGCCCCGCCATTCCTTCCGGCCTTCGAGTTGATATACGGCTTCCGGTAGGCGACCTCTGCCAAGTCGGTTTCTTCAAAGTATATAAGTCGCAGGGCGGTGTGGCTTCGGATTTTTTTGCTGCATCGCTCTTGGTCGCGCGGAATTGCATCGATCCAATCTAACCAAGAAAGATTCGTACCGTTTCCATTCGTGGTCGCTCTGACCTTGTTCGCTGTCCCACGACCCTCCGATCGTCATGCCGTATCTACTAAGAGGTCTATGGCTTGTGTGTGGCTTCTTAGTCATGCTGCTGTAGCCCCAAGGCCATTTCGTTAGGAAAGCGGCCGTTTTGTCTTAGTCTATGTTCCGATCCTAGGTCTCAGCCGCACGGATGCTATGACGTCCCTGCTTCCTAGTGTGGTGTAGTAACATTCCATCTCCTATCACCAATGCTTTCCGAAGAAAAATATCAGCAGAACGAGATTCAGGATGACGGTATAAACGTTGAATGTGATGAAATTCCGGGCTCTGGTCTTCCGTGAATAGACCTTTATATAGTATCACGGCTCTAACCGTGAACATACAAACAATTGCAGACCTGTTAAAAGTGCCCGACTTGGCGACGTCCTACTTTGGCCAGTAGTGTGACGATGTGGCTCCGCAGTTGTGTTATGCGACACATAGTGTTTATGACAGTATCCGGAGAAGGAGGATTTGTAAATAGGTAATTGGCTATAGATGTCGCCCGTACCCGAGACCAGCTGGGACTTGCATATCACGTATGTAGTCGTACGGTATGAGACTCTGTACGAGGCTTCAGCTCCCAACTTGCCCGTGCATTGCCCGATTTTCCGAGACATCTATACGAAAGCGAGGCAGGTAAGGGGAAGCGAGACCACTCGGGACATATAGTCTGTAGATCCCTTGCTGCCAAGCCCTTATGATAACAGGGGTCGCCGATGTGATATATGCCTAAGTGATGCTATAAACTGGTTCTTGTGGGTGTTTAGATGGCAGATATATGGTATGTTGCTTGCTGTGTCTAGTATGTATCTATCGTTTCGAAGGCAGCATTTAGATAAGAGGGCGTAATTTGTTTTCGCGGAAATTGTTATGATTCCAACTATGAGCATATGAAAGCATATATAAGCAGGTGGAGGTAGTTAAGCAGTCCTGCGCAACGATGTTCTACTTTCAATGTAGCGATATAATGCTGCAGTCTTCAGCTGTAGCATACTCCTTATACTCTCTGAAAAGTTACTCGTCAGATGTAACGTTTTAAGTACGTGTGAGTCATGCTGGTCTTAGGCCGGGGGCATTCCATTATTGCGGCATGAGCAAGTGTTTGGATTATAGCGTCTAGTCAGTTTTTAATAATCAGTTGCACGTATGACTTGCTGGGTGGTAGATATACGTTTCCAGCATAAGACTTTAAAGGACTTGATATATCGATCTCGACTGGTTTTAGGGTTGAGTTTAATGATAGTACTTTACGAAGGTGGCAAGATTTCTGGCATGACAGGTATGGTGCTGAGAAGGATGGAGTTGTGTTAATAAGTGATGAATATAATTAATAATTAGGTTTAGAACGGCCAGCAGAGATAATTCTACGATGCACCCCTGGACCGACTTTTTGTGTCTCTGGAATGAAATGTCCACCATCGCTTGATAGTGACTTTAACGTCCTCTAAGGTGTGCGCTCTCTCTCCTCCACTAGAACAACATTCTCATTACTAGACAAATATAAGAGACTGGAAGTCCTATGACATTCCTGGTAGCGCAATTATACAAATAGCCAACCTATTTTACAAATTCCATGCTAAAGAAGAAACTGTAGCGTTTTCCATAATCAAAAGGGCCTATCAGGGACACAGAAAAAGCTTTAACTGGGTTCAAAGAGGGTCTTGTCAAAGACAGACCGATTCTAAGGCTGTTCTTGGAACGAGCGTAAGCCATAACGGACCAATAGAATGAGGGATAGGGTTACAATAACTCTCAAACCATTGCTTTTACTCTATGAACTTGTGAAACTGCACGATTAAGCTAAAGCACAGGGCATGTTGAGGCTTAATGAGAGAACAAGAACCACTCTCTAAGAGGACTTGTATTATCTTAAAGCGAGAATATCTCAATCGTAGCGGGGATAGTTCAGTTGGGAGAACGTCAGACTGAAGTTTAACTTCATTCATTAATCTGAAGGCCGTGTGTTCGATCCACACTCACCGCACACAATGTTTTTGTTATATGTTTAAGTTGTGTTGTTGTAGTAGTGGTATTTTGAGGCGAAGTTAGTGTAAATAAAGTGTGATGTGGGTTAGATGAAGCAGATCATGTGCCGGAGGCACTAGCCTCAGCCCTAACCCAGAAGACTTATCTAATCTACTTATGTAACGGAGGCACCATAGCCACACACAATAAGGTGACTGTGGGTATGCGGGTGGCCCACCTGGCTATCTTGTAAGTACCTTTAATTTCTCTCTTTTTGTCATATTCTTCTGACAACATTACCCAAGATCTCCATGAACATACAAATATACAGTAACATGGAAGGCGAATAACTCAACCGCCTCGGCTATCACACTTCCGTTGTTTGTTAGACAGAGGAACCCAACGGTTTCTTCGCACGTATCGCTACGAAGTAGTACTACATACACCAGCAGGGTTGCAACCGTGCAAACAACACTGAATGACAGACAGTACTTTAACCTGAACAGAAAACCATCCCATACTTGACGACGTGGTGTACAATTATGTCAAATAGAATAGAGTACAGTACAAGCGTCGAGAACTAAATACGGAGGTGGTAGGTCTTCTGTTTTCGTCTCATCCTACTTATTCTACTACTGTATTTCCTGTTCAGTACTGCAAAACCGGCCTTGTTGTCTGTCGTAAGCGCTTGGCACGCTAACTAACTGTGGCTCGCCGCGCGGAAGGCAATCTATCTCATCTCATCTCGAGATTCTTACTTACACTACACCCACCAGAGATCGACTGCACAAGCCATTTTCTGGCTCGAGCGAGGCCCTGTCTGGAATCTCACAAACCCACCCACAGTACCTGGCTAGTGTAGTTAGTTGGTCTCATATTGCTGCACGCTACTATAGTGGTTCAACATGGACAACGTTTCGCTCATTTACGACGATCGGTTTCGTGAACCGCAACATTTTTGTTCTTGTGAGGGATAATCGATTCGAACGTACGAGGCGAAATTCAGGCCTAACAACGCATGACGATGCTGGTACGGTTCCTACACCCAAGAGCAGGGAATCCTTGGTGTTGTACGTATGTTTACTGTAGATACCCTCGACCTTTTATTGGATCTATATTTGTTTTATCGGGTTTCCTTTTTTCGGCCTTTCAGTGGATGATTCGATCCGATAATAACGGCCCGAACCATGCATAATGTTAGGGGGAGACTGAAGCTTTGGGCACATGGGTTAATTTGTCCACCAAGTCGTTGTTGACCGGGGGGGGGAAGACGAGGATGGGGAGCGGAGGTCCGGTGGATGGATACTGTGTACCCCTGGTGCACGGTGCGTAAGAAAGTACGAGCTCACGAAGCCCGAGAAGGCAAGGTGCACATTTGTCCCTTGCTTGTTGGTTTTAGGGGTGTCAGTCAACTGGAATTTAAAATGAAACACCAAGCTGATTACTAGTGTTTGGTAGGTGTATGCGTTCGCTTGTATTTTACTTATACGTACTATGTAAGTAGACCTGAGGATGAATATCGGGGTTAGAATGATCGTGGTGATAGGGACATATAGGGTAGGATAGGTAGGATAGGTTTTGGGACGGTGTTGCGATGGACAGAGACTGGTTGTTTATCAACTAGAGAATCCACACGTTGGCGCGGTTTGGGACAGAGTTCATGCACAACATACATATGCCTTGCATATGTGATAGGTCTGCCATTGGAAAAGGTCAACCAACCATCAGGCTTATAAAACATGTCTCAGATATGCCAGTCGCTTGATTGATAATGAGCAATAAGCTTATAGAATAGGTTTTTAATTCTCATGTCCATTGCGTGCGCAATTGCTACGTATAACTGAAATAGCCTGCCGGCTTCACACAACCGCCAATCCTCCTGGTATCTTACTCGTGTGAAAGTTCCAAAAACCCTATTACCAAATACGCCGAGTCATACCCAAAGATAAAAAAATAAAATAAAAAACATTTATGCAGTAACTTTAATAAAGCTCAGGAAGCGACTTAATAAACTGGATGACTTTGTGGTGGGCTGTGGTATCCTCATCTCGGGAAGCGACTCGACAAGCATGAGGACCTTGTGGTCGTCGAGGGCGGCGGCGTACCGCACGGCCATGGCGTGCACGCAGTCCTTGGGCTGCATCTCGTAGGGGCACATGAGCCAGCCGATGCCGGCGAGGAAGGACTTGCGGTACTCGTTGCGGAGGTCCTCGTCGGTGCTCCTCAGGTTGTCGCGGACGCCGAACCGCCGCAGCGTCGCGAGGTAGTGGTCGACGATCTCCCACTCGTGGGCGCGGCGGTCCTCGACGGTCAGCGCGCCGGCGATGAAGTAGGACACGTCGTGGAACGCCGACCCGATGTGGATCATCTGCCAGTCGAGGAAGCGCGGCGCGCCGCCGTCGAGGTACGTGTTGCCCAGGTGCGCGTCGCCGTGCAGCAGGCACTGGAACTTGGGGTTGCGCGAGCGGTAGTGCTTCTTGAGCACGTCGGTGACGCGCTCCTGGTCGCGCAGGTAGGGTTGCACGGGCGGGCGATCGGGCCCGTTGACGACGGCCTCGTACGTCTGCATGAGCGTGAGGAGGGCGTGGTCGTAGTCGGATGTCAACCAGGGATAGTCAGCAGGGCGCACGCCCCAGGTCTTGGCGTGCAATGCCGCGAGCTGCTCGATGCCAGCCTTCACACGGTGGACGGGCCACGTCTCCACCGGGTTCCCGAACTGGCACCCGCGCGCCGCCAGGTCCTCCATCACGACGATGCCCTGGGTAGGGGTGTGGCCGGCCCAGTACGCCTGGGGCAGCTCCATGTGCTTGAGCGTCGGCGCAATGCGGTTGAAGAACTCGACCTCGCGCTGGTATATCATGACGATCCACGGCATCTGCTGGATGAAGGCTGGGTTGAAGCCACCCTTGACGCACAGCTGTCTCTCTTCATCGTCGTTCTTGGCCGTCACGTACAACTTGGTGGCTGTGCCGGGCAGCTCGCCCGTGCGCTTTAGCGAGTTGACCTGTAAGCCGAAGATGGAGGAGAGCCATTCTGGTGTAACCTCATCGGGGACGGAGGGTAGTTGGGGAGCCGAGGCAGGTTTTATGGGTTGCTTGTTTAGAGGCTGTGTGCCCACGGGGATACTCGCAGGCCTCTGCTCTACAATCATATCGGACATAGCCATGGTTGCGTTATTTAGGAAGGGGTATCAACGGAAGAAACAAAGCAAGCAATGTGTAGACTACTAATGTGTGTGTGTGTGTTACTACTGGTATTCGATGACCAGCATGAGAGGGGAAGAGGCGAGAATAGGATGACGAGCTAAACACAGAATTCCCTCGCCATCTCGACCGGCAGGCCGAACCTTTAAACCATTTTCTGTCTCGATCCTTGACACCTCGCCTATGCTGCATCTCCTAGGGAGCTGGTTGTTGTTAGACTGTGAGTAGTTTGACTTGCATGGCGGGGTTCCAGTCGCGCGCACCCCTCCCTTTCGCAACTAAAATTACACGCTCCTGCAGCAAATAATACATTCTAATGCACCTAATACATAGTAAGGGCTGGGTCCTCAATAACTTGGGGGTTAGAGCGGTGTAGATCGTCTCCAGCCTTATCTGCTGAGGACCGTCCTGGACCCTTGAAACAATGAACAGGAATACAGTAACGGAGGCAATAGTGTTAGACGACACGCGGGCCGAGCCACAAACGGGTTGGTGAGATTTACATTTGTACATACGTAGCAGGTTGGTCTTACACATAGTTGTATCAGGAGACACTAAGTCCCCAGGATGAGAACTATTAGCGCGATGCTAAGTGCCGGGAGCTTTCTGTTAGGGTTAACAAATACAGCGCACATTGCCTAGTTGAGATATCGCTAGACATTGCAACGTTAGCGCACCATCTCGATTGGTCTATCAGTCTCCTGTTTATTTCGATTTGCCTAGCGATTGACCCTCGTCGACTGGGATGCTTGCGTAACTATACTACATATCTGTAAACAATAGCGAGGCTCCCGCCCGAGCAGGATTTGGGCAAGTCATTAGCGTCGAGCTAATGACAGCGATCCTGGGCTTATACCACGAAGTAGTCTCTTGGGCGGTGTTAGTGCTGCTATAGTTGCTGCATGATGGTGACCCCGCATGCGTCGCGAGCCGAGATGGGAAACCATGATAGATTCTGGACAACTAACAGTCCATCTTTGGCCCATTCCGGGAGTCACTGTGCCTAGTTTGGCGCCTGGTATACCGCGAGCAATTGCTGAAACAGAACTCTGCTCATTTGTGCCATGCAAATCATGTCCACTTGGCCGAGATGGGGATGTCCAAAAGAATCAAAACGACCGAGAGTGTTTTAGTAATGTATTAGGGGTAACCATAATAGTAGTGGGAACCTGTAATTGGTTGAATAACTGCTTTGATATTCGGATCGGATAGGTGTCAGCCATAAAAGTGGCACCATAATGCCCCGTGATATACCCATAGCTAACCGCATATGTACTATGTAGATGGATAGTCTGGACCCTGGTCTGGATTTTACGACGAATCGATCGAGACCTCATCAAAAACATGCATACCTACGAATACCGAGAGTAAGATTGAAAATGAGGCATTACGAGCAATGGGTTGCAACCGGATTGCCTCATTTAAAGCACCAGCTTGGGCTCGAATAATTACCCATTTGCCAAACAAACAAAGATGTTACCTCGCGGTAGCTACGGACTGCAAACGACGATGATTCCATCGACAAGCTCTACTGAGGCGCGCCTCATGGTCCTACGTAACCAGGTTAGCAGATAAGCTATTGAGGGAGGAATGTGGGGCGATGTGGGAGTAAGGGTTAATGTTCGTGGCAAGATATGGAGAGAGATGGGATGATCAATGATCAATGGAGGTAACCCTAGTTGGAACCAGGGGCAGCAACTAGGGGGCACGAACTGGGTAAGCATGAAGGCCAAGGGTCAACAAGTTCCCGTTCTTGAGATATTTAGCAGCAAAACAAGCGATTATCATGCTAATCGATGCCGGGCAAAACGGAGGA